ATTGGTCCATGTCATAGAAAATAATTTTCAAACCATTTTTTTACATATATTTGTGGAATACTCATTATTGGAGTCCTTTTTTTCCCATAGATTTGCTACTATAATTTTAAAAGAAACACAAAAGAATTTTATAAAGGTAACTATTTCATTTATAGTTATTTAAGTGTAATAATCTTTTTTCCCCCAAACTTAATCAGCTCCCTAGATCTTTAGCTTCTACTCCCACTGCTCCTACCAATCCAGCAACGCCAGATAATGCATCGCAGGAAGAAATCATGGTTACCTTAATAACAGGATTAGCTTCTCTTACATCTAGAACTTCTATGGGCATCATTGTTGTTGGAGGAGTGGTAAGAAACATTACTTTTTAGTATAATGAAAATTGAAATTTTTGTAGAGCTGCCTGTTCACAAAAAGAAAGATGCATTCCTATTTATATAATCTATAAATGATATAAAAATTTATAGGTTAAAAGAATTAAAAAGAGTTTCAGAAGTCTAATCTGAAATTTTTTGAAAAGATCTTTTTATAAGGAAATATCACCAAGTAGCTGGTCCTTAAAACAATGCTTCTAACTATTCTCGTATCACAGTATACAATATTTGTACATTGGAGTAACTAGAAATGCCCAGATGCCCTTTTGAATGCCAATGGGATCTGTCATAAGTATTGAAGATTATTTTTTAGTAGTAGTTTTTATTTGTTTAAAGTAAAATTCATATCATTAACAGCATAGATATACTCATTTTGGTTTTTGAAATTTCTAACATAAATTAACATTTGTTTTTGTGAGATATAATGAATCAGTTTAACAAACCTGGCAGGTTAAAAGCTCTTTCCTAATACTTATGTTCTAATCCCTTTTCAGCTTGATTGATTTACAGTAACTTCAGATTTTCTCACGAAGAAGGAATATAGATTTTTAGACAATGTATCTGACTTGAAGATCCATAAGCAGCTAGGATGCCATTTAATATACTCTCCCAAGGAGTATTTTTGCTTCTCAGAGTAAGCTGTGACTTTATCTTACAGATTTGGAAAACTATAGGCTGGAAACTCATATCTGTTTCATTAAGCATGTATGGGGCTTTGTATCTTTATGAACGGCTGACCTGGACCACCCGTGCCAAGGAGAGAGCCTTCAAACAGCAGTTTGTGAACTATGCAACTGAAAAACTGCAGATGATTGTTAGCTTCACGAGTGCAAACTGTAGCCACCAAGTGCAACAGTAAGTTGAAAGGTGCATTTTTTCTTTAAAAAAAAAAAATCTTACTGAAGTATGACATACATGCAGAAAATGCAAGAAAATAAGTGTATAGGTCAAAGAATTGTCACAAATATGAACACATTTTGTGATCCCTACCAAATTGAAAAAAACAGAACAACACTAAACCTTATTTATGTGCTCTCTCCCTCCTAATAACTATTCTCCCCAGTCTCCTGATAGATTAGATTTGA